ATATGTATATTGAAAAATCTAGACACATCCGTCGTAGACATAATTCCATACGACAACTACTACCTAATGGAGTTGTCTCTCTAGATTATGTAAAGTCTGAGGACAATATTGCATTCGGCTAACCAAAGGGTTAACTCGAGAGTTCGTAGAAACGTTGTCAAGAGGAATGGGGTTAAGGCCTTTAGTCAATATTACCGGAACGGAAAACCCAACCTAGTTGACTGGAGATCCCAAAATACAGATCCCAAGATCTAGGTTGAAGGGGACAACCTAATTGCATGTAACGGGTGAGTCACTGAGGAGGTAAATCCTCTTACACATTCCTTTATACAGTGATACCCTGTGGGGGTGGAAGGATAAGCTAATACTTTTAATGTCCTAAGTGATGTGAATAGTCAATCGTGTTATAGTGAAATACCTTATGTAGGTCACCTATGTGAGTGAGAAATGGGGTCGCTTCTTTACGAATTGACAAGGCCGAATTCTTTAAAAACACTCACTGAACCAGACTAGTGTTCTAGGGCCAAACCGGACAACAGTGAGCACAAGAACAATGTTTGGAGTAACTCCTATGTAAGGCCTATTGTCTTGGTTTACACAAATGGCAGAACAGTTTAAGACATCATGTTCACTGGTCAGCTAGTAAATTCGATAGGCTTTCACTACGAAAGGTTCGAGGCCAACAATTACTTTTTTCTGATGCAGGGTTAGTTTGTGTGCTCCCTCTCTCTCTCTCTCTCTCTCTGTTGTTAAATGTTATTCATTATTCTTTATTCGGTCAATTTTTATTCATGCGGGGGATTGTTGAAAAAAAAAAAGTTTATGGTGACTTTAATGTGAAATTAAAGTGGGTCTCAACTGCTGGTTGAAGTGGGTCCAAGTGGATCTAGATTCTTTGTAATAAGATCTTTACACCAGAAAAAGAATGACCAAAAACCATTGAGAATTGAATGAAAAATTGTCTCATAAAGTTGGCCTCATGAATGAGGTATTGGGAATGGTATATTACCATCTATTCCATATTGATTGTAGAGGAAAGTATTGATAGGTATTTAAATCCCAAGTTTTTTATAAGGGCATGAGCTCTTTGGGACATCTAAATTTTCCGAAAAAGTAGAGTTATGGATGCTTCAAAGATGAGGTTGGGCCAAGACTATTGTCCAAGTTGGTTATGCAAAAAATGCCACACGCTCCTTCAAGGATGGGCTTGGGCCAAGACTATAGTCCAAGTTAGTTATGCAAAAAATACCATACGTACGCGCACGTGCGTCGCCTGCCTTCCTGGACCGGGTATGAGTCAGGGTCCGTGTTCCGTGGATCGTGGATCTTGGATGTTGGGACTTGGGTCTTAGGCTTGGGCTTGGGCTTGAACTTGAGACTTGTTGGAATGAGTTAGATTTGGGCTAGGCCAGATTGCTGGTTGCAGGTATATACACGTGTATTGTGTATGTGTAACCTCTACACTTACACTTAAGATGGTGATTTACACCATCAGTTTTGTTGCATTTGTTTCAGCAGTTTTGCAAAATTGAATTCTGCATTTGCTGCTGGAAGACTCCCATTCTCTCTCCCGTTTTGTATAAAAGGAGACCATTCTCTTTGATTGGGTACATAAATTTTTTTGCTTTCAATATAGTCAGTCTTCTGCTCGTATTATATTTTTCTCGTGCGAGAAAGTGCTACCATTGTCAGTTTGCGGAAACTAACCAGAAGGTGATTCTAACTTAGCGGGTTCTAACTATCGTATTCTGGGAGATAGACGCGGACATATCTCCAGCACCTACGGTGAGGTAATGAATCTGTTTTAAGGAGACTGTGATATCATACAGGTTTCAGTTTGTTATCTTTTTCTTATTTAAGTATTTTAATTTATTATATATATTTTTGTTCATTAAATTGTAATTTTGAAAATGATTTTTTTTCCACATTTTTTAATTTAATTAAATATAAATTTATTTATTTTTATTTAAATACACATTTCGTACAACATATATTTATAGTTGTTTGCTCGGTTTTGAATTTTCAATAATAGTGCAGCAAAATGGATAGAGTAAAGAAAGGTCAATATAAACAGTTAACTTGATCGTTTGCCATGACAACATCACCTTTCTTGTTACGTATGCTATGAGCTCAGCAAATTGACTAGTTTACTTCACTTTACTGTTTGGATCATTTATTTATTTGATTAGAAAGGAACGGAAAATAGAAATATATATATATATATTTTTTTTTTTTCCTTTTCAAATCACTATTTAAATCTGTTAAAAAAAATCATTATTTAAGTCTATCATTCAAACACGATTTGGGAATAAAATTAATTTTAGAATGTAACCCAAAAGTTTAGATTGATGGTATAGATTTAATCTTCTCATTATGGATCTACTCCATGAATTAATCCCAATCATAAATTTTATATTATGCGTAAGTTCAATTTTTTTTTTTTGGACAATTGATATAAAAATAATTACAAACATAAAAAATATTATATCAAATAAATCACTAACCTAACAATAGCTACAAAGTTAATAATTACCAAACTTAATAACCAATCACTATGCCCAATCCCAACAACTGTCACTAGCTACATACAACCCCCCCCCATAATTAGGGAAAAACAAACTACTACTAAGGATAACAAAATGCTCTGACCCAATAGGTGGGATACTCCCTGCCCTAATAAAATGGGTTTGGGAGTTTTTCAATAATGCTGGGTTGAGTTTGGAGTAAGAATAAGATTTGCAGTGTTTAGGTCAACTATGGGGTGGATAATCCAACCACGTCCCGACCCGACCTTATCCTATTACTATTATTATTATTATTTATTTTTTAACATATGTTTATTATTTTTCATGATTTAAAATTATCTTTAATAATTTTTTTCTTTTATAACCGATGAAATTAATTTTTCCATAAATGGTCTTCATTATGAGATTTACGACATGAATAGTTCAGACTATCGTTATAGACTCAAAATAAAACCTACAAAATGAAATATGAAGAACAGTGTGATGGTGATGAGTTATTCTCTTGTGGTAACAATTTGTTATACAAAAGTAGTCAACCAAAAAAAAAAAAAAGAAAATCGTTATGTGATTGTTATATATATATTTTTTTTCTCTATATGATGGAAAAGTTTTTGTACCTCCAATTTAAATTGTAATTTTGAAAATGATTTTTTTTCCACATTTTTTAATTTAATTAAATATAAATTTATTTATTTTTATTTAAATACACATTTCGTACAACATATATTTATAGTTGTTTGCTCGGTTTTGAATTTTCAATAATAGTGCAGCAAAATGGATAGAGTAAAGAAAGGTCAATATAAACAGTTAACTTGATCGTTTGCCATGACAACATCACCTTTCTTGTTACGTATGCTATGAGCTCAGCAAATTGACTAGTTTACTTCACTTTACTGTTTGGATCATTTATTTATTTGATTAGAAAGGAACGGAAAATAGAAATATATATATATATATTTTTTTTTTTTCCTTTTCAAATCACTATTTAAATCTGTTAAAAAAAATCATTATTTAAGTCTATCATTCAAACACGATTTGGGAATAAAATTAATTTTAGAATGTAACCCAAAAGTTTAGATTTATGGTTTAGATTTAGGCCTCGTTTGGGAACCTTTCTTTTTAGCTAAAAAGTCAAAAAGTTACTAAATTAACCAAAAAGTCAACAACTCATACCAAAAAGTCAAAGATTTACTTTTCTCTCTATTTTTTACACATCTTTTCGTAAAAAGTCAAAAAATCATCCTAAACATACTAATTTTTTTTAGCTCATATTTTAGCCAAATAGTCAAAAAGTTACTAAATTAACTTGTTCCCAAACGAGGCCTTAATCTTCTTATTATGGATCTACTCCATGAATTAATCCCAATCATAAATTTTATATTATGCGTAAGTTCATTTTTTTTTTTTTTGACAATTGATAAAAAATAATTACAAATATAAAAAATATTATATCAAATAAATCACTAACCTAACAATAGCTACAAAGTTAATAATTACCAAACTTAATAACCAATCACTATGCCCAATCCCAACAACTGTCACTAGCTACATACAACCCCCCACAATTAGGGAAAAACAAACTACTACTAAGGATAACAAAATGCTCCGACCCAATAGGTGGGATACTCCCTGCCCTAATAAAATGGGTTTGGGAGTTTTTCAATAAGGCTGGGTTGAGTTTGGAGTAAGAATAAGATTCGCAGTGTTTAGGTCAACTATGGGGTGGATAATCCAACCACGTCCCGACCCGACCTTATCCTATTATTATTATTATTATTCATTTTTTAACATATGTTTATTATTTTTCATGATTTAAAATTATCTTTAATAATTTTTTTCCTTTAAAACCGATGAAATTGATTTTTTCATAAATGGTCTTCATTGTGAGATTTACGACATGAATAGTTCGGACTATCGTTATGGACTCAAAATAAAAGCTACAAAATGAAATACGAGGAACAGTGTGATGGTGTTGAGTTATTCTCTGGTGGTAACGATTTGTTATACAAAAGTAGTCAACCAAAAAAAAAACAAAAAAGAAAATCGTTATGTGATAATTTTTTTTTTTTTTTTTCTCTATATGATGGAAAAGTTTTTGTACCTTCAATTGACCGTAGAGGAGACATTGTGCCTGTTTGGGACAGTTTAAAAACTGTTTATTTCATCTTTCAATTTAATTTAAGCTATTTTGATGTGTTTAGTTTAGCTTAACAATGCAGCTTATAGCTTTTTGTAAGTCATAAATCAGCTTATTCTTTAAGTGGGACAGGAGATGCTTAATTTATAAGTCAGAAATCAGCTTATGGTCATAGTTATAAGGTATAAGCTGTTAAGATATAAGGTATAAGTACTTTCCCACAACTCTACCAAACAGGCCATTAACTATTTTGGCAGAGTCTGACAGTTGAAGAAGTAGAATAAGCTCCAGTCACTAGCTTCAACTCCGTACATCTCAGAACTTTGCTCAATAAATTTCTATGATTTAGCATTTGAACTTACAATCTACATCAAAGTTGGCAATAACAAATTATTTTTAGAAAAATTGATTCATAAATAGAATTTGTATGTGGCTCCAAACTCCATAGAGTTTGTAAAATTGATTAAATAAAAAAGGATTATTAATCAACCATAAAACTGATAAATGTTTTAACTTGCAACGAAACCATTATATATATATATTATCCCCGTCCCCGGCCCGAAATTGATCGGGGAGTGATTTTTTAATACCATCCTCGTCCCCGTGGAGATATTTTTCGGGGAAAATCACTTATTTTGGGGTCGGGGGATCGGGTCCCCGTCGGGCCGGGTTTAAATTGCCATCCCTATTGATGGAGAGACTTACATCAACCAGGCTTAGCCTCTTTTGAGCCTCCTCATCAATTATGCTTCCACTAATTCCTGCATTATTCACCTGCACCAAGTTTTACTCAATTATATATGCTATTCCAAATTTGAGACGAAATATGAAGAAAAAAAATGGTATTTCAATTTGTATACGAAAAGAGAAGAGAAAAAAAATTGATAAATATTGTTGCTTGATGTGTGTTGAGTCCATCTATTAAAATTTAGGATAAATTATAAATATATTATTTGAGATTTACTTAAAATACAGATTATTCCTTATAGTTTTGAAAATTATATCCCGCGCCCTTCAAGGTTCTAATCAGGTAACAAATGTCCCATTTTAATAAATTATCAAGTCAATTAACAGTTTTAATGATGTTAGGAATATATTTTAATTAATAATTTAGATAATTTAATTGTGTATAAGAGAGTAGTTAGAAGAAAAAAAATTCCATTAATTTTGTTTAAAAAAAAATTTCTAACAACGATGTATTTGTAATTTTCAAAACCATAAGAAGTAATTCATATTATAATTAAATCTCAAAAGTATATTTGTATTTTACTCTAAAATTTAATAGAAACTATCGAATTTCAAACAATCATTGCCTCAACCACCATAGGCCAATGGCCTTGTTTGTTCTGATGAGCTAGAATAGATGAAAACAACATGTTTAAGATTGTTAGTTTTAGGATCATCAATTGACCTTTGAATTGGCTTAGGACTACGAGAAAAGAATAACAAAATCCTATCAATTTTGTAATTTAATTATTTAGTCCAAACTTATGCTTTGTACCCCATGTTGCTATTGGGATTCAATAGTCCCCTCATATGGAGGATGTTATATCCGCATGAACTATTAATCCAAATTTCAATTCTCTTAGTCAAACGTTAGATAATGCATTTTGCGATATTGTTAGTTCAATTCGAAAGTCATATCTACCTAAACAAACATGGCCTCCCTTAGTATAAATCGTGAGAAACCAATTTTGGGGGTTAGGCCAGTATTTTCCAATTTTCACGAGGTAGGCCCTTTCCAATTAAAGCGGTTTTAGGTGTTAGTTTGGACCAGAACCAAACCCAATTCGATTCAAGTTCCAAAAACTATTCTTAAATGAGTTTTATTTGTTTTAGTAATTTTTTCCCCTACAATTTAGTCAATTTTTTTAACTTCTTAAATGCACCTAATTTAGATGCTTCAAAAAAAGAAAACAAATTGACTAAAATATAAAAATAAATTGCTAAAAACAACGAAAATTCAAATAAAAAAATATGTGCATTTTTATTTAGATTTTTGTTTGGTTTTATTAAATTTTTTTCATATTTTTGTTAATTTTTTTTTTATATACTTTTAAAAACATAGTCTTGATGTATCTAAAAAAAATTTATAAAAAAAAAAAATTTGACTAAAATATGACGAAAAAAATCACTAAAAATAAACAAAAATCTATCTAAAAACAGTTTCTAAAAATTAAAACCAAACTCTAAATGGATTATTTGAAAAACGACAACTCAGTGTAAGAGACACTCACTAAAACATATGAGAAATGAAAGATGTAGCCAAACAAGTTACATAGGCATTAAATCTTACCAATATGTCAAGCTTCCCGAATTTATTTTTGATGAAATCAGCCATGGAAGCAATTTTGGCCTGGTCTGACACCTTAAGCCGATGAAAAAGTATATGAGATAGCCCACAAGCTTTGAGATTTTTCACAGCCTCGAGACCACGTTTTTCATCTCTTGCCGTTAAAATCACCATTATCCCATTGGAAGCTAATTGTCTAGAAATCTCTAGCCCAATTCCTTTGTTTCCTCCAGTAACAACAACAATCCTGAATAAAAAATAAAGACGTGAAAGTGACTAAGATTAAGAATCAATAAAAACATGTAAAAAGAGTGAATAGCATAGTCATATGAGATATGGTATTAGTACCACTTTGCTTGTTCCATTTTATATGAATATGGTATTTGTAGAAATGTAAAAATGGTGTCCTAGAAACAAAAATATCCCGGTTGCTGATAGAACCCTTGCATCCATGGCAGGAAAAGGAACCATAAATCTTATACCTTCTCTTGCTTTGAAATCTATTTTTTATGTGCCTAAACTTTCTGTAAATCTTTTGTCTAAGTTTATTTATAATTTGTGTGCTTACATTATTTATATTTAATGTAAAATAGATAATTATAAGAAAACAATCTTTCTTAATCCTATGTTGTCTTATCATTCCATCATTCTAGGCCAAGAAAGAGCTAGATGACTTGCAACATGTTTCGCTAGCCATGTGTACAGTTGATTGGCTTGACTCATTGCACATTCTACTTTTCTTTAGATTCTGATGACAATTCGGGCATGATTAGACACACCATGTTGATGTTGTTGAGTACCCGACTTCATTTCCATTCTAGGCCTCACACCTCATTCGATATGCCACTACTTGGACGATGAGAGAGCTTTTGGTGTCACACCCCAAATCTGGGCATGACCAACAGTGACCCACATGACTTTAGCCCAAGGCACATGTAAGTCTAAACATAAATCCATAATCACATAAATAAATGTAATAATAGACCAGTAATAAATAAATCAAAATCCAATCTAGTGACATGTCATAAGTATAAATGGCAAAACCAGCCATAACCAACTTCTAAAAATATACTCTATGTAACAATCTATAAGTTTTTCTTCTTCATCGCTCTAGCGACGGGTTATTCGCTCAAGCGGTCTTGCGGGTCATCCAATACTTTTGCAAGTCTAAGATTCTGGAAGATGTTGAGGTTTGCTCGAGCGCAAGGTTAGTTGCTCGAGCGGTCTGCACTTTGTTGGTTTGAACTTCTAGGACTTTGCATTCTGCGCTCGAGCGAAGGTTTCATCGCTTGAACAGTCTATTTAGAATCGGCACTTTCACTTTTTGGTCAAATCTAGATCATTTCTCTCTCTCTCTCTCTCTTTCTCTCTCTCTCTCTCTCTTCTCTCTCCTTCCTCTATTTTTGAAAGTCCCAAGCTTTCAAGCTTGGATTTCATCACCTTTTACTTAAATCTCACCCTAGTTCCATATAACATAGAGCAAGAAGATAGCTTTCTAATAATCGGAGCATATCAAATTTTTGTCGAAGCCAAATTTTCGGGCTTTCTCCTTTTTTTGCTTGAGGTAGGGATTTCCTTTCTCCTTTTCAACACCTCATCTATAGATAGACATGTGGCAGATTTTTATTGCATTAAAGCATGTTTATTATGGATTTTTCAAAATCCATGAAAGAGTGATCTGGGGTTTGATACTTGGGGGTTGTAATCATTAAATTGGTAGTTGTTTTAGTTAACTAGGGAGTAGTTAAACATGTTTATGTCGAGAAAGGGAAAAAGTCCTAATGTCATGTAATTAGCTCAATTGCAAAAGGGAGAAAGTTTAATAATTATGTTATGTATTATGTGGATTGTATTAATGTAGTAATTGCTAAAAAGGGATTTAACTAAGATATTGAGATTGTTTTGAGAAATATACATTGAGTTGAGTTGAGTTAGGTTGTAGTTTTGCTTAACTATGGATTCAGGATTATTAAAGAAAGAAAATGAATTTTTGGAACATGGTTGGAGTTTTGTGAATTGGGAAAATAAGGAAATTGATTTTGAAAAGAAAGTGAAATTATAACTCTTTTGTAAATTGAGAATAAACGGGAGGTTGGTCATTTGAACATTTGATATATGTTATTGTTACTGTTGGGCTTATGTTCCATGGGAATTGGATAGTTGTAGTTATGTACACTAAATACATGTGCTTAGAGGTTTTGTCCTAAGTCATCGGTGCAGTATGACATTGATGTGTTGAATAGATATTGTATATGTACTACACTTGTGTTATAATACAATTAGCATGTCGTGATGGTTGGTAATGTATATTGCGCTGAGAATGAGAGGTATCAGTACCTTCCAGTTAGCGTCTGGAAACTTGGCAGAGGTACCATTACCCTCCAGCTTGCTTATGGTAAATTGGCATAGGTACCATTACCTTCCAGCTTATGTCTGGTAAATTGGCGTTTTGTTGTGGAAGGTGTATCATTGGCTTACCGTGTTTGAGGCAGGTAGAGCATGGGTTGGGGTTTTAGTGTTGAACCAGTTTATCTATAAATTATCCTATGTGGTAGTAGTTTGTTTGATGAGGTTGGGTTGTCTCATATAATTTTGTAGTAATCTTGGCATATACATTATTTATTTTCGTGTTAAAGGTATTGCATGTAAATCTGGGTGTCAAACGGGTTGTAGAAATGTTTCATTATCCTTGGCTTAGGGCTTGGAAGTGTGATTCATGTATTAGTAATGGATGTATGTGATGGGCTGGGAGTGTAAGGAATGAAAGGTGATTGGTTTTTTTTAAATACGTTATTGAAAACACATTTTTAATATATATATTCTTTATAAAACGGATAATGTACGAGAAAGAAAAGAGAACGTCATGTATTGTTGAGCAAATTGAACAATTTTCTTGAAATAGAATATATACATAAGTATACTTTGATTATAAACCGTCAGATTATTTATATTGTATGATAGGAAGTATTCATGATCGTAGCTATGTGTATGTTATTATTGTTAGGATCATGTCGGGCTTCCTACTGGGTTTTATGTTCATCCCACGTTATTAATAATTATTCAGATGCAGGTTGATAAGTGATACAAGGCCGGTGATCTTCCTTATGTGTTGTCCATGGGGCCTTTATTTGTTAGCAGGTGGCCTTTATTGTATTAAAGGTTGAACCCTTTCTCGTTATGTAACAATGTAGCCTACGGACAATTTATTTATTGTAGCTCTTGTTGCATTACGCCTCGTGGTTTGTTGTGGAGTTATGTTAATGTTTATGATAGAATGGAATTACAAAATTTTGAATTTTCTTGTACTTGAACTGTGTTGGTGACACGATTGTTATGTGAAAAAGGAATTGGAAAATGAATTTTTCTTTGTGTTATGGCCTCGAATGGCGTTGATGAACGGAGATGTCGTGGATTTAATCTAAATTGTAATGGGGAAGTTCACCAAGTAGTTTTTGCAACTTAATCATGGATAATTATGTGTTCTAATTAACACTTTTGTTTTCAGAAAATATTATAAAATTCTTGAGTTTACTTGGAAAGAGGAAAAATGTATTTTTGGTTGTGGATGGTGAGAGTTTAAGCATCTTTTGAGAAATGTTTTAAATGCTAGAGAATAACTTTCTAGGAATTGAGAAAAAATGGAAATTTTCTTTAACAAGAATCATGTTGGTAATTGTTTTACTCAGAATGGATGGGTTATGTAATAACTTTGTTTGAATCATTAGTCATGGTTTTGAGGTGTATTTTCGCATTGTTGAGGCTTATTAGGCCAGGGTGTTGTCTTTTGACCGTGTTTTGTTATAAGTTCTTTCTTTCTGTGCGAATTGACCAAGAATTTTGTTGTGAAGAATTCTTTCGTATTCGAGTGTTAAACAATCGAGAGTTTTGTGCATGTTGTGGTAGTTGAGACGTGGTTGATGTCCTTGGGTGCGCGTTGTAGTTGTTGTTCTTGTCTCATAGGCCTAATGAGTAGTATGAGTCGAGGAGCCATTCATGATCTCTTCCTTGAGTTTCGTTCTTCAGGTGTCTTTGGGGCCCTGAAATGTTGAATTGAGATCTGGGAATTTATCCCAAGTACGAGTCTAGTCTTGAGTTGGGGGTTGTGCTTACAATTGTGATTGAGTTGCCTTTGGTTTCAGCCATAATTCTAACGTGGGGAGATTGTAACAATCTGTAAGTTTTTCTTCTTTATCGCTTGAGCGACGGGTTGTTTGCTCGAGCAGTTTTGTGGGTCATCCAGTACATTTGCAGGTCTAAGATTCTAAAAGATGTTAAGGTTCGCTCAAGCGCATGGTTGGTCGCTCGAGCGGTCTACTCTTTTTTGGTCTGAACTTCTAAGAGTTCGCGTTCTGTACTCAAGCGAAGGTTTCATCGTTCGAGCAATCTATTCGGGATCAGAACTTTAAAAAGCAACTTTTTGGTCAAATCTAGATCATTTCTCTCTCTCTCTCTCTCTCTCTCTCTCTCTCTCTCTCTCTCTCTCATTCTTCCATTTTTAAAAGTCCCAAGCTTTTAAGCTTGGATGTCATCTCCTTTTACTTAAAATCTCACTTTAGTTCCGATAAATTGGCATTTCGTTATGGAAGGTGTATTGTTGGCTTACCATGCTTAAGAGCATGGGTTGGAGTTTCAGTGTTGAACCGGTTTATCTATAAATTATCCTATGTGATAGTAGCTTGTTTGATGAGGTCGGGTTGTCTTATATGATTTTGTAGTAGTCTTTGAATGCACGTTATTTCTTTTTGTGTTGCAGGTATTGTATGTAAATCTGGGTGTCAAACGGGTTGTAGAAATGTTTCATTATCCTTGGCTTAGGGCTTGGAAGTGTGATTCATGTATTAGTAATAGATATATGCAATGGGCTAGGAGTGTAAAGAATGAAAAGTGATTGGTTTTTTTTAAATACGTTATTGAAAACGTATTGTTAATATATATTTTTTATGAAATGGATAATGTACGGGAAAGAAAAGAGGACGTTATGTACTATTAAGCAAATTAGACAATGTTCTTGATATAGTATATATATAAAAGTATACTTTGATTATAAACCATCACATTATTTATATTGTATGATAGGAAGCACCCATGATCGTAGTGTATGTCGTTATTGTTAGGATTATGTTGATAAGCGATACAAGGTCGGTGATCTTCCTTACGTATGGCCACGGGGTCTTTATTTATTGGCAGGAGGCCTTTATTGTATTAAGGGTTAAACCATTTCTCGTTATGTAACAATGTAGCCTACGA